ACTATAATCACCATAAACATCTTCTACAATAATTGGATCTTTTGTTGGTGCCATAAGACATGAGAATGCAACAACAACAAGTGCAAATGCTACAAATGCAACACCAACCCATTGATAAGCATATACTTTTCTCTTTAAGAAGACTTTAGTGAAAATAGCAGAGAAAATAGTCATTGATCCTCTTAACATTTGCCAAATAGATGCTGGAATCCATAATAAACCAACATTAGATAAAGCAGTAGCACAAAGATCACAACAAGCTGGAATAGCAACAATTAAATAAGTTTTGAAATGAGATTGTCCTGGTTTTGTTTCATGTCCTTCTTCAGCTTTCTTTCCAAAGAATTTTTGGATTAAATGTTTTCCTTCAAATACAAATAAACATCCAAACATACCTATGAACATCATTTCAGTTTGGAACCATGGTTTTTCAAATGAATGAACATCTCCATTAAGTCCTTCTCCTTCAATTGAGAAAATCATTTTTTGGAATACAACAGTGCATGTCCCAAAAAGGAGCATACCTGCAATAACAATGGCTTTAGCTAAGAGTGATGCCATACTTTTTGCAAATTGAGATTTCTTAGTTATAAAATCTACTTTATTCTAACGAACGTTCCTTTGTGTTCGATTTATGTCTTGAAGAACATTAATATTCTATTCTAATAGCTCTTTTTATTAGATTTTACTATATTATATGAATAGGTTTTCTGCATGGAATAACTTACTATTTTTATTGGAAATTTTTTTTACTATTTTTTTATTAGAATTTACTAGAATTTCTTTCATTCAAAAAGAAATACCAAGAATCTTCTTTTCGTTCTTCCTCTTCAAACTTTCAATCTAAATTAATCTCTTCTTCAATTTTTTAAACTCTAGATTCTTCTCTTATTTATTCTTAGAATCCTTGAATTATCTAAAAAATATTAAAAGTTCCAAACATAAAATTGAATAATATCTTTTATCTAATACTTTTTCATTCTTTTTAATAATAGAAAAATCAGTTTGAATATTATAATCCTATTGTTGGTGATTTGTTTAAAAAAATAACCGATTAATGTATTTCTGTAATTTAACGTAAAATTTCTCAATAATCCAATTTTATTCATTTGAACTTTCATATTTTTCATTAAATTCAAAATCTACAATTAGTTATACTTCATTTATAATGAAATTCTTTATTATTCAACTGAAAATAATAAAAAAACCAAAAATAAATTCAATCCACTCTCATTGTTGTTGTTTCTCAAAACAACAACTGATTTTGTTGATTGACATATTATAAAACTTTTTTTTGAAATTTAGAAGTTTTATGAAAAGAAGTAAAAATGAAATATCATTAATATTAAAATTATTTTCTTTTTGATTTAATTATTTTAATAGAAAAATACTTAGAAACAGTAATTATTAATAATACAGGGTGTTTAGTAATGTCAATGTCTTTGTGTTAAATTTTATCATATTTATAAAAGGTATAAAAAAGTATATTTTTCAGAGTTATTTATTTTGTGATAAACAAATTTATTAAACAATTTAAATTATTGGAGATTTAACTTATTGAATAAAGAAAAAAAAAAAGCTTAAAACAAATAATGAATAAAAAATGTATTATTCATAAGTAGTAAAAATAAAAATATCGTAGTTATAAGAAATTAAAAATATCGTAGTTATAAGAAATTAAAAATAAAATAGAGAAGAGTTTATTTTATGAATGAATTTTATCTGTAATATATAAAATTAAACATTTTAAGAAGTTGATGAAGTACTATTATACAGTAGCTGTTTTTTGAGTAATAAACACTACTGAATTATTAAGGTAAAAGTTTATTATTGAGGAATTTTAGTGGTTATTTAAAAATTAACATATTAGAATAAACTACTTTATTTTCTGATTTGATAGTTCAGAATTTATATGATGATGTTTTTATTTGAAACTTACAAAGAATATTGAACTTAAGAAGAATTGAAAAAGTTTTGAGATTAATTTTTTAGAGTATAAAAGAAAAAATTTAATTAATGTAATTATCATTTCTCATTAGAAAAAAAAGAAGAACTAATTCTTCAATATATTGCTTGAAATTTCCTTCCCTTTTCTTTTATTTTTATTCTACCATATCCTAAAAAAAAAAGAAAAATTTGAATAAAGAATGAGAAACTTGTTTTTTTTTAGTTTCAATTAATGCAAACTACTCCTAATCAACTTAATGATACTCAAAATTTAAATATATACCAATACAATTATCAACAACCTGTATATTCTTCAAACACTCCTGGATGTGAACAGAATGAATATGGAGTTCAACCAGTTTTTCGTGAAGAAACAAATTCGACTTCAGTATCAAGTCAACCAAAAGGTTATACACAAAAAAAGCATTATTCCAATAATGGGATGAACGTTATCATTTGTTTCTTTTTAGGATTTATTTTATTTATTCCATTTTTAATAGCATATATTATTGGTAAAAAATCTGAAAGTAAAGGAATTAAATTGTTAGCAACTATATCAGTCCTTTGTTTTGCTGTTTATTTCTTTGCTTTAATAGGAGCTATAACTGTGACATTAATCCTTTTAAATTAATTAAAACAAATATAATATTCTACACTCTTTTTATAAAATCTAATTCATTATTTACATCTTTTTATTATGAATTGATATATCTTTGTATTTTCCATTCATTTTTTTTTAAAGAATTGATCTTCTTCACCTTCAATACTTCCAATTTTCTCTTGTAAAATATTTATTGCTTCTGTAAAATATATCATTGTTACTTTTCTTACAGTTATTAAGAATTATTTTTTGTTTCTTTGTATTAAAATATTGTAATTCAACTCTTTTAGACTTTATAGAAGAATTATTAACAATAAATTTATCAACATAAGTTTTCGTATTTTGAAAAATTACAAACGATTGACCATTTATTTCTATGCTTTTATATTGTGAATTTGTATTAAAAATTGTTATACATTAACAATTACTTTTATTTTCTTCTTTTTGATTCACTGAAAAACAATCTTTTCACAATAGTCAATGGAAAGAATTGTTGATGATGCTATTAAAAGATCATATCAAAAATATAGACTCATTGTGACAATTACTTTTTTGAATTTGTTTTCTAGTTAGTTGAACGTACAGGCATTATGTTGAATAACTTTTTAATGTTTCTAATGAATTTAAATTATTAGATCAAAGATTATTATTACAAACTTTCATTTTCTTGAAGAATTTAAATTCTGGGATGGTAATATCTGATATATATTTAATAAATATATCAGTAAATGATGGTAAAAATGTATTGACAATAGAAGATGGTCCATATAGAGTATATTTTTCTTGAGAAACATCATCCAAAAAAATAAATTGTTTCTTCAGCAGATGTTATTGAATTAAAGAAATATTTTTCTATTCTTCAATTTCAATTTTTATAAATAAGACCAATTAGAGTGAATGACTATTCATAATTTGTGAATTTAATACAATGAATAATGTCCATACTAAAAATAGTTTCTTCATTTCTATTATGCAAAACAATTGTTTGAACCCAATTTGGTAATATCCAATTTTTAATATAAATACAACACAACATATTCATTCTTCTTTTTCTATAATATTACAATTTAATTTTATAATACCACAATCATTTATTATTTGATTAATTCTTTTATCTTTTTTCTTTGTATTGAAATTGTTATGATAAAAATAGGAGTTATGATGGAATTTGTACTTGTGTTTTAATGTTTTCTATACCATTAAAAGTACCATTCGTAACTTCTGTAATATCAAAATGGAATTTTTTTGATTCGCTCCTATTTTGAGGATTATTTTACTATTATATTATGACTTGAAGTTGAATATTGGTTGAAGTGTTTCTGTAATCAGTTTCAAGACATTAGAACTTACAAGAAGAATGCATATAACTAATTGAAATTTATTTGTTTTAATATTAAGAACTTGAAACAAATGAACAAATCTTTGAAAGAAACTAAGATTTCCTTCAATACTTTTTAAATGAAAATCAAATAAGAAAAATTTATAAAGAAAAGAACTATCACATCTCTTAATGAAACAATTCTGAGAAACTAATTATTAAGTATATCTGTTTCATTCTTATTCCTTAGTAACTTCTTTTCTAATATCTGTGTAACAATACCCGATGAAAATTTCTCAATTAAAACCAACGTTTTGAAACAGTTTTGAACAAAACATTAAACTGCCTGAAGATATAATGTTTACATTATTTTTTTTTATAAATAAACTTCATAATGAGAAGTATTAAACATATGACTTCTTTTCATTAAACTACTATTTATCCACATCTTTTACTTACATTATCAAAAAACTTCATTGTCTATATATCATCAATGTACAAAATTACTTTATTCAGATAAATCTTTTTTAAAAACATTATTTTCTAAGTCTTTAATTATTAGGTTAATTAATTCGTTAATTTTAAGAAAAAAATATTTTTTTTGTTCCATCAAAATTTATTAATAATTTATTACATGCTAGAAGATAAGATATACATTATCAAAATATAAAAGAAAAGAAAGGATATATTATAGATGTTGCCGTATGTCAAGATAAGAAATATAGAATTAAATTATATTCATAAAATAAATAAATACAAAGATTTACAAGAGAAATTAAGACATAATAGAGAAATAATATATGTAGAAATAATACCTGTAATATTATCAATAAATGGATTAATACAAAAATAAATAATTAGAAGAATAAAAATAATAAAATTGTACATAACCTTTCACAATAATAATTGAATAATAATAATAATAATCATTAAAAACATGAAAAATTTAATATTTTACGCAAACACTTCTGATAATATAACAGAAGAAGAACCATATAATTCTCTCTTAATATAAAGTAGATATAAAATATAAGTAAAACATGATGAAGAAATTGAATTAATCATCTCTCAATATATTCATATCAAATTAAATATATCCATTATTCGACTTTCTATTTTATTCATTATTTCTTTTTGTTTCAAATAATATTGATGAATTTTTATTTTTTATAGATTATATGGTTTCAATTTCATGTTTATACTTACTATTGTTTCTTTTTTTTCATTTTGTCTTCACTTCATTTTTTATTTCTATTATCTTATTCATTTGATTCATAATGAATTAATTCAATGAAATGATACAAATAAATTGTTTATTCATTTTATTTTATTTCTATTTCATTCTTATTTATTAAAAACACCATCATTGGGTGTGAAAATTTCAAATAAAATAAATCAACATTGAATTATATCCATTTGTAATTCACCATTTCATTCATTGGAAGATGATATTAAATGTTTATATTCTTCATTGTTTTGTTTTTATTCTTTTTATTTCATTTTCAATTATTCAAGATTGAATCATTTCATCTCGATTACTATAATTCGTTTTGGTGTGAAATGTTGTTTTCCACAAAGTGCATTTTCAATTCCTTTATATTCAAATGAATGTTGATTACAATGTGATATTGTTTTATTATTTTCTTTATAAACACAAATATCACCTAATCCAAATTCAAACAAACAGTCATTTGATTGATTTATTAAATAAAATGCGTCTTGTGGTTGTTTAATATCAAATTTCTTCATTCTTCCATTTGATTCTAATGAAAATACAAATGATTGTGAATCATTTATCCAACCAACTTTATCAATTTTAGAATTAACATATCCACCAAATTTATTTCCATCTTCATCTTTAACAATAATTATTATATCTTCTTTATTCTTTATTCTTTGATTAAATACTGATGTGTTTCTATTCCAATTATCAATATCTGAATCAAATAGTATATCTTCTACTCTTCTATTTGTCCATTCTTCTATTTGTATCATTTCTTCCATTGTGTTCATTCCTTTCATTATTCTCAATCTTTCTCCTTCTTGTTTCTTTTTTTCTTTTTCTTTTCTTCTCTCTTCTTCTTTTCTTTCTTTTTTTTCTTCCTCTTCTCTCGTCTTTCTTTCTAAATAATCACTGTAATACTTTTCCCATTCTTCTTTATTCTTATTAAATTCTGCTGTGATTTTATCTGTTTCTTTTGGTATTTTGAATATTTTGTCTTTCATTATCATTTCTTCAATTGAAATGATTTTATCAATGAGATCATTCCGTGTTTTACTTAGTGTTTCTTCATCATTATTACATTCTTGTATGATTCTTGACATTTGTTTCTTCATTATTTCTATTTGGTTGATTGTTTCTTGACTTTTCTCTATCACTATTTTTCTTCTTCTTTCTGTTTCATCAATCCTATCAAATATTCCTTCTCCTCTTTTAATTGCTTCTGAATATGTTTCATCTGGTTTTATTTCAAATACTTCATTTTTAATACTTCCTATATAATATTGATAATTCAAAATAGTATCATCAATTGATTGTTGAATATTTGGAAGTGTTTCTACTACTTCTTTAATTAATTGGTTGTTCTTGTTTATTAACTCTTCCATTTTAATTTAATTTGATATTTATAAGTTCAAAATAAGATTAAATAGTTAATACACGTTATTAACAAATAAAGTCAATTAATATTTTTAACATCATTCTATTTTAAATAAATGTTATTTTTATTTTACAATAACATTAATTTAACACATATATTGTTATATGTTTGAATAAATTAATTGTTATTTTTATTGTATATTTTTAAAAAAAAAAAAGAAATAAAAAAAATAAATTGAAGACTAATCACAATCAATCAATGGAACCAAACACTTGTTTGTTCCTCATTTATTCCTTTCATACAACAACTAAACTAATATATAGCCAAAGAAACTGCCAGTACTGGTTTTGTTATCCATCAAGAAAATGAACGTAAAAGTTTTAGTAAATCACAAAACTCATTAAAAGGTTTAATTGAACCAGATGAAAGTGAAGACATTGATGTTGACATTGACCATGATGATATTGAACAAGATAAAAGCAATATAACACCTCCACTTACACCTCCAATTGAAAAAAAAGTTATGTTTAGTGTAACTCAAGCTCCTTCAATAACTGAGCGTGAAGTAAGATTAAATTCAATTAGGTCTAAACAAGATGTGTTATGTGTTAATGGTGTGATGGATGAACTTAAAGATAAAGGAAATGATTTTGACAACTCTACAACTGACACAACAATGGATTGCGTACCTACACCATATAAAACAGTTGAAACTATAAAAAATGAAGAAGTATTTTCAAAGCCTATTGATGCGTCAGTAAATTCATTTGTATATGAGTCTCAAAGAATGAATGAAGAAAACAAACTTGATTCATCAAAAACAGAAGCCGAAAGTAAAGTAAGCTTTGAACAAACAGCTGAAATAAAAAATGATAACATGGAGTTAG